TATATATATATATATATATACAGTGGGGATCGAAAGTTTGGGCACCCCAGCTAAAAATTTGTATTAATGTGCATAAAGAAGCCAAGGAAAGATGGAAAAATCTCCAAAAGGCATCAAATTACAGATTAGACATTCTTATAATATGTCAACAAAAGTTAGATTTTATTTCCATCATTTACACTTTCAAAATAACAGAAAACAAAAAAATGGCGTCTGCAAAAGTTTTGGCACCCTGCAGAGTTAATATCTTGTACTGCCCCCTTTGGCAAGTATCACAGCTTGTAAACGCTTTTTGTAGCCAGCCAAGAGTCTTTCAATTCTTGTTTGAGGTATCTTTGCCCATTCTTCCTTACAAAAATCTTCCAGTTCTTTGGGATTTCTGGGCTGTCTGTCACGCACTGCTCTTTTAAGGTCTATCCATAGATTTTCAATTATGTTGAGGTCAGGAGATTGTGAAGGCCATGGCAAAACCTTCAGTTTACGCCTCTTGATGTAATCCCCCGTGGATTTCGAGGTGTGTTTAGGATCATTATCCATTTGTAGAAGCCATCCTCTCTTTAACTTCAGCTTTTTCACAGATGGCATCAAGTTACCATCCAAAATTTGCTGAAGTTTTATTGAATCCATTTTTCCTTCTACTCGTGAGATGTTCCCTGTGCCACTGGCTGCAACACAACCCCAAAGCATGATTGATCCAACCCCATGCTTAACAGTTGGACAGAGGTTCTTTTCATTAAATTCTGTGCCCCTTCTTCTCCAAACGTACCTTTGCTCATTCCAGCCAAAAAGTTCAATTTGAACCTCATCGGTCCACAGAACTTGTTTCCAAAATGCATCAGTCTTGTCTATATGTTCATTTGCAAAGTTCAAACGATGATTTTTGTGGTGAGGACGTAGAAGAGGTTTTCTTCTGATGACTCTTCCATGAAGACCATATTTGTACAAGTATCTCTTTATAGTGGAATAGTGTACCACAACTCCAGTGTCTGCCAGATCTTTCTGGAGGGATCGTGCAGTCAAACGTGGGTTTTGAATTGTTTTTCTCACAATCCTGCGAGCTGTTCTGTCTGATATTTTTCTTGGTCTTCAGATCTTGCTTTAACTTCCACTGTTCCTGATGACTGCCATTTCTTAATTACATTTCGAACAGAAGATATTGACATCTGAAAACGCTTTGCTATCTTCTTATAGCCTCCTCCAGCTTTGTGAGCGTCAGCTATTTTCAGTTTCAGTTTTCTAGACAACTGCTTAGAAGAACCCATGGTGCTGATTGTTGTGGCAAGGTCAGATGAGTCTGGGCATTTAAAACCTTTGAGATTGACATCACCTGGTCTTCCCAGTCGATGATTGAGAACAATCCATGACACTGGCATGTCTCAGCTTTGCAAAGGGGGCAGTGCATGCTATAAATTCTGCAGGGTGCCCAAACTTTTGCAGATGCCATTTTTTTGTTTTCTGTTATTTTGAAAGTGTGTAAATGATGGAAATAAAATCTAACTTTTGTTGACATATTATAAGAATGTCTAATCTGTAATTTGATGCCTTTTGGAGAGATTTTTCCATCTTTCCTTGGCTTCTTTATGCACATTAATACAAATGTTTAGCTGGGGTGCCCAAACTTTCGATCCCCACTGTATATATATATATATATATATATATATATATATATATATATATATATATATATATATATATATATATATTTTTTTTTTTATTTGTGTTTTTGGTAGGATAAAAAGAAAGTTCTCGGCTGTATGACGGGTACAAACAACAACTAATATGCACATATGTGGTATCGCTGCGATCGTCAGGAGCAGGAGAATTTTTTGGGGGTGGTTTTAAGTTGTATTTTATGGTATAGTAGCAAGAAATTTACAACTAAATTTAGCAAAATCAGTTTTTTTTTCCGACTGTTTTTGGTAAATTTTCCTTTGATAAAAAAAAAATCAGGAGATATCCATTACCATTTACCACCAAATGAAAGCCCAATTTGTCCTAAAAAAAACTAGGTATAATCCACCTGGATGCACAAAGTAGTTGTGTTGATATGTGCGGTTTTATTAACACATGTCAAAGTTGCAAACCTTTGCTTTTTACCCCTTAGGCGCGAAGGGATTAAAATGGATCTAAACTATGATATATTATTGAATATTTAACAGTTTCAAAAGCTGTTTTAATAGGTTACTTCTCCTTTCTGTGTTTTTTCTACATCCTTTCTGCAAAAAGCTGTAAGGTGGTTGACCTTGCACCATCCTGGCTAAATGGCAGGGTGAGACACCACTGCTAGGGGGGGGAGAGAGAGTTCACTGTGCATTAGCAAATTTAAATGAGCTAGGAGTGGGCTGCTGAGGGAAAAACTTTGGGGATTTTTTTTTTCTTGGAAAAATTGAAGAAAAGTGAACTTGGGTCACCTGTTACAGCTCTGCGATTTGTGTTTGATTTCAGCGCGATTTCAGGTGCAATTTCTGAAAACTTTATTGTGACTTGTGAAGATTTTTAACGATTTCTTACAATTTGCTTTGCAATTTCCATTATATTCTATATGTATGTGACATCGGAATAAACTGCAGAAAAAGTAATGCAAGAAACTACTTTAGAAAATGTGCTGCAGCAAATCTCATGTTAGGACACTGGACACGTTCATTAGATGCGATTTTTAATTTGCAAATCGGACCTGAAATCGCACCGATATGACCAGGCACTTAATGGTAAATGTAAAGCTCAGACATATCTGAATGGAAAAAGTAAAGCACAGACATATCTGAACAAAGCACATATTTCTATAGTGTTTACTTGCCTCTCTCCAAAGCACTAACTGACATTTCTCCCTGCTGTCTAGCTCTTCTGGTCTGGTCTTCTGTCTAGTTCTGGTATCTGCATATGTCACGTCTGACAAGTTTTCCTGACACCAAGAGCGACTGTGCGCTGTGTGAAGGGGGATGTGTCCCTTCCCTCCAGTCAGCTATCAGAACTCTTTGTATAGTGTTTAATTGCAGCTCCCCATCCCCTGCTTTGTGAGTGTTTGTGAAAAATCCTTTTGATCTGAGTTTTACAAGGATTTGCAGGACAAATGGGTGCAAATAAACAGGTACAACATATTCATTTCTGTGTATCACCTGAGCCCAGTCTCTTCATTGAGTATAGGTAAGCCCTCTTTCACATGGGCGTCGCCTGTTCAGTCTAGTTTTTTCTTTGAAAAAACTGATTCAGTTTACTGATCATAATCAGTTTTTGCATCAGTTTTCAGTTCAGCATATGTCAGTTTGCTCAGTTTTCACTTACATTTAGTTCAGGTCAGTTTAAATCAGTTTACATCTATTTGACAAAATTATAAACAAAAAAATGTCATGCCTAAAAATGGACATAAACGGAACGGGTGTAAACTGATGGCTGTCGTTTACATCCGTTCCATTTTAGTGGATCTGGACGGAACTTTGTCTGTTTAAAAAAAAAAAAAAAAAAAAAAGGACTGTAACGGACATAAATGTAAACATATGGTAAATGGATAATCATCCATTCACATCCGTTGGTCCATAGAAATACTTTGTGTCCGTTTTTATCTGTCTGCGTCTGAGAAAAAAAATCCATTGCAATTGTGTACTGCATAGTGCTTTAAGAAGCTAAGGCCCCTTTCAGATGGGGCGGACCTGCCAGCGGATCTGTTGCTCAATGGGGGATCTCCCGCTGATCCCCGCTGAGCAAGCAGAATGACAGGTCTGTGTCCGCTCCGCTCTGCTGCTGCAGAGCGAACACACACACAGCCTGCTTTTTCCTGTTGGGTGCTTGGATGGAAACGGACCCCTGTCTGTTTCCACCCTACTGTCATCCGATCCGATGGACAGATGGGGAACGGATCCCCATCCCTTTGTTTTTGGCGTACAGGATCGGATGCCAGCGGGTGTCAGCATACACTTGTCTGCTGACACCTGCTGGTCCATAGAGGTCTATGGATGGTCGGATCGGGTCCGCCTGAAAAACTGCAAGGCGGACCCAATCGGACCGTCGGTGTGAAAGGGGCCTTAATGTTGGCTAGTTAGGAAGGGTTTAAATTTACTTTTGATCTTTAAATATGAAGACGCTCATAGACTTAATAGCAGAGATGGTTAACTTTCTTGATATACAGTGCCTAAAGTGGGGCCACTGACCTCCCCAAAGGGCTGCTCATAATATTCAGTAATACTGTGCAATGCTACAGAAAGCTATCAGAGACTGGTGGCACATTACATGTGACTGCTATTACAGGGCAATAGGAAGCACAAATTCATGTACACTATGTTGCCAAAAGTATTGGGGTGCCTGCCTTTACACGCACATCCCAGTCTTAGTCTGTAGGGTTCAATATTGAGTTGGGCCACCCTTTGCAGCTATAACAGCTTCAACTCTTCTGGGAAGGCTGTCCACAAGGTTTAGGAGTGTGTCTATGGGAATGTTTTGACCATTCTTCCAGAATTGCATTTGTGAAGTCAGACACTGGTGTTGGACTAGAAGGCCTGACTCGCAGTCTCTGCTCTAATTCATCCTAAAGGTGTTCTACCGGGTTTAGGTGCAGGCCAGTCAAGTTTCTCCACCCCAAACTCGCTTATCCATGTCTTTTATGGACCTTGCTTTGTGCACTTGTACGCAGTCATGTTGGAACACGAATGGGCCATCCCCAAACTTCTCACAAAATTGGGAGCATGAAATTGTACAAAATGTCTTGGTATGCTGAGTTCCCATCACTGGACCTAAGGTGCCAAGTCCAACCCCTTAAAAAAAAAAAAAAACACTATAATCCCCCCTCCACCAAACTTTACACTTGGCACAGTGCAGTCAGGCAAGTACCGTTCTCCTGGTAAACACCAAACCCAGACACATCCATTGAATTGCCAAACAGAGAAGCATGATTTGTCACTCCAGAGAACACATCGCCACTGCTCTAGAGTCCAGTGGCGGTGTGCTTTACACCACTGCATCTGGCGCTTTGCATTGCACTTGGTGAGATAAGGCTTGGATGCAGCTGCTTGGCCATGGAAACCCATTCCAGGAAGGTCTCTACGTACTGTTGTGCTAATCTAAAGGCCACATAAAGTTTGGAGGTCTTTAGCTATTGACTCTGCAGACAGTTGGCGACTTCTGTGCGCAATGTGCACTTCAGCATATGCTGACCCCGCTCTGTCATTTTGCAGGGCCTACCACTTGGTGGCTGAGTTGCTGTTGTTCCCAGTTGCTTCCACTTTGTTATAATACCACTAACAGTTGACCATGGAATATTTACTAGCAAGGAAATTTCACGGATGAACTTATTGCACAGGTGGCAACCTATCACAGTACCATGCTTGAATTCACTGAGCTCCTGAGAGTGACCCATTCTTTCAAAAATGTTTGTTTGTAGACCTAAGTACTTGATTTTTATACACCTGTGGCCATGGAGGTGATTGAAGCACCTGAATCCAATGATTTGGAGGGGTGTACCAATACTTTTGGCAATATAATGTACCGTATGTAAGGTCCCCAAAGGCTGCACAATAAGTGTCAGAGGGCTGCAGGTTGGACACCAGAGCTTTAGAGAATTGTCAGATGCACAGGCATCTGCTAGCTCACCAGCATACTTAGTGGAGAGAACATGGGGTGGAAGTGAAGTTCTGGTGTTGGATTTTCAGTGCTGGAATAATATGCCCATTCAGTTATTGAACAGAAGGTGAGAAGAAATCTAACTGAGTCCCTGATGGCAGTAAACTTGATAGAGGTTCTGACCTTTACCTAATCTATCCAAAAAAAAAAAGTTTGTAGTATAGATACTTTAACACTAGTCTGGTCCGTCATGGTTTGTTAAATGCTCAATACGTTAAGGGAGTCCATTCATTTGAAAGTGCTGCCTACGTAGCCACAACAGACTGAAAATCACTCCTGCAGAATTTTCAAAACCGTGTTACATGGTAGCCAGTTACAGCATGTTGCAGTGCACTAGGAAGGTGCAGCAGGGTTGCCATTAAGAATGGACTGCACTGCACCAACAATCGTTACTGCAGTGCACTGGTGTGAAGGGGTTCTTATAGTAGTTGAACACATAGATCTTAACCTTATCATTATCAAGCAGCATCTCTGCAAGCTGTTCTGGTGTTTATTTTATAGTTGTAATAGTTTAAATGAATTGACCTTTGTAGATATGTGGTTGGAATCTTACGATTATCCAGGACCAGGCATATCCCAGGAGCTGTAGAAAACAAACTGAATAAAGGCATAAATGTTTGTGGGTACCACTAAATGAAGTAGGTACTGTCCAGTAACCAAAAAAATCTTATGAAAAAAAAAAGAACAATGTGCACAGAGTGTTCACAAAAAAAGTGGTTACATAAAGGGCAAGGCGGTATACCAGCACGTAATCATGTAATGCTTTTATTAGCAAAATTGCAGTATCAAACAGTTTAATGAAGACTGCACAATAGCCATCGCCTCACCTGTGACCAGTATACAAAATACAACCTAAAAACAAAAATAAATATAAAAATAAGACATCATGGCTAGGCCAAAATGCATGGTATGCTGAATGGGCAATGACTGAATTGTCTTCTGCCAAAACAGCAAACACATTGGGGTGCACCACCGGGATATAATTGTAAACCAGATGAATTGTAAATCAATACAAATAGTCCAACTGTATATATGATGGCAATATGCTGGAACGGATGTAAATCCGAATCTATCACAATATGTGAATTATCACAGGCCCAGATATGGAATAAGTCACTTGGTAAAGCAGTTCTGGTAATAGAACAAGGCAAGCAGAGTCAATATTCAAAACTGTGTGTAAAAGTGGTGACAAAATAAAGGCACTGAGATCAACCTGGATGAAGCATAACCTTCTCAGCAGGTCACTTAATTAAGTATGAATGACTTCGATGCAAGTCATGCAATGATGATCCTAAAGAAATCCTCATGGGATTAATAGGTAATTGGTATAGCGTTGTTGTATCCTTGGTGTGAAGTGCTGTGTTGTCCAGGTATGAGTGGAGTGTAACAACTCACCACCTGCTTGGCCAGTTTTAAACAAGGCTCACCCTTTCAGGGTTTGACAAATTATTGAGGGTAATCGGTATGGCAGCTGCCATATCGGGACTCCTATAGGCAGAGCCCTGCCTCCAGATAGGTGTTGCCGTCTCAGTGGTCTGCACTAGAAATTTGCCGTGACTCGTGTTACCGCCCGGAACAAGGTGCGTAGACCGGTGAACACTACCAGCGTGACGTCACCGCGTTTTCGCCGATAGGCGTATTTTACTCAGCTTCGTCAGGACCAATGGGAGACAAGTTAGCACGATCATTTATAGCAAGCAAACTCTGCCCATTTATGTCAATCATATGTTGCTAACACACCCATTGGTATCTCATTAAAAACGGTCAATACAATTATTCCACACACTTCTAGGTGAATCAGAGGGCAAATTAAATAATAATCTTAGGGTGAATAAAAGAAAAGAAAATATGCAATACTAGCATACAAGGTATTTGACTACCGAAAATAATTTCATGGGACCGGTTTAAAACCCCCTAAGATCCCAATTTTTAGTTTTGCAGAAAGACTTGGAGATCTAATTCCACATTTAACCCTTTAGGATACAGAGTATTCAGTTTATAAATCCTATGTTTTTCATGTTTTAACAATTCCCTATGGAAATATCCTCTTCTCAATGGGAAATTAAGGGCATAGAAACCTTTTACTTTGGTCCCCTCCAACTTACTACCATGGAATTTCAGGAAATGTTGAGCCAGGTTACTGTCTGATTCTTTGACTTTATATCCGTAAAATCTTTACCTATACGTATTTTAAGTTGCCTCTTCATTTTCCCCACGTAAATCTTATTACATGGGCAAATCAACATATAGAGCACTTTAGATGTAGAACAATTAATAAGGCTTTGAATTCTGTATTGAACATTATTGTCAGAATCTGAAAATATGTCTGTGCGGTCAACATATCTATACATCTGACATTTACCACAGCTAAACATTCCTTTTGAACGTGATGTTAACCAAGTAATCTGCTCTATAAGGTTATAGTCAGAATGGATTAGGAGGTCGCCAAGATTTGGAGCTCTCCTCGCCGCCATCTGTGGGTAGTCACCCACTATTTTTCTTAGTTTAGGGCATTCCATGAGTATCCTCCAATGTTTTTCTAACACCTTTTTAATTTCTTTCCACTGTGCTCCATATTGAGTTATCATCCTAACTGGTTGGGATTTTTGACTCATTTCATTAGTATCTTTTTTAGGGGCCAGTAGTGTCTTCCTTTCAGTTCCATGCTTTCCTTATTTGGGAATGTGAGTAACCACGCTCTCTAAACCTCTTATAGAGGTCTCGTGCTTCTAGCTTAAAGTCATTGATATCAGAACAATTCCTGCGACACTGCAGGAATTGACCAATTCGAATATCATTAATAAGAGAACATAGGTGGTGACTCCCAGCCTCTAATAATGTATTTGCTGCCGTTGGTTTCTGATTTGTGGCCAGTTTAGCATTCTCATATCTAATGTTAAGATCCAGAAAGGAGATTTTAAATCTATCATAGACACAAGCTTACTGTTCATTGCGTTGTAATTCAGTTCCTCTATGAATAGATTTAAATCCTCAACACTCCCTTTTCGAACAAGAACTACATCATCGATATATTCTCAGCAAAATGTTACCATGAGTGAGAAATAGTGATGATCTGTATACCAGCTGCTCCTCCCAGTACCCCAAGTGTAAGCAGGCATAAGCTGGGGCCCAAGGTGCTCCCATACAAGTGCCTCTAATTTGTTGATAGAAGCTATTATTGAACTGAAAAAAGTTGTTATGCAAAGCAAAATCCAAAAGTTCAACAAATTAATTTTGCCCGCCCATATCAGGGTAATACATCTCCAGGAAGTAGCAGATGACTTTCTGTCAACATTCCTGGGGAATGGGCGTATAGAGAGATTCAACATCCACTCCTACTAGAATGGAATTCTCATCAATTGCGAGTCCCTGAATTTTTGCCAGAACATCCTTGTATCGCTGACATAAGATTTTAAATTCGGGACCATTTCCTTAAGAAATCTACATATTTACCTGTTCTCTCAAGAGGTCCATTAATAGTTGAGACTTTTGGCCAACCCGGTGGATTTTGTAAGTCCTTGTGGATTTTAGGGATTACATAAAAGGTTGGATAGTTAAACTCATCCACCCTCAAGTACTCAAGGTCTTTCCTAGTGAGTAGTTTAGTTTCTTTCTCTAGAGTTAACATAGAGTTAAGTTTTTTTTAACCAGGATGGGGAATGGATTTTCAGATAATTTACGGTATGTATTCAGATCTCTTAGTTGGCATTTAACTTCCTTCACATAATTTTCTTCTATCAGTATTACCACGTTTCCCCCTTTTTATCACTTCTTTTTATTATAATATCCCTTGCCTCTCTTTGCAGTTCTTTTAGAGCTCTCCTCTCACGCTTGGTGAGATTATCACCAAGGGGCATTTTCCACTTCAAAGATTTTAAATCAGTTGATACAAGGTCTAGAAACATGGCAATCCAGCTATTACTACGAATTTTAGGCATTCTAGTTGATCTTATTTTTAAATCTACTTCCCTTATGGGATATACTTGATCACCCTCATCATCATCCTCATTCACTCCACCTTTCTCAGCTAGGGAAATCAGCATTTCAGGAGTTTCTCTGTCTTCAATGGATGTCTCTGGTATACACACAGATGGATCATCTGTTTTTTCATGTATCAGTCTGAGAAAAACCTTCCTCAGAAATAGATTCACATGTTTGAATACTTCAAATTCATCCATTGAAATCATATTGTCTGGGTTATACGTTCATTTGCCCACGCTTACCATTATTCTTGACCAGCACACATGTTTAAAAGCCTTCTGAATGTCTTTACTGTAAGCACTGGCCTGGCAGACAAAACAAGATAACAATTATTAGTGGTTGTTTACAGAGAGTAAATGGTGCTCCCTGGCAGCACCACGGCATTAGTGTAGGCAGTCAGAGATGGAGCTTAGTTTCTGAGCCAGTATTTCATTATCACGTAGCTTTAAGTTAATGATGCTAAGCAGCGGAGCGTCTGTAAAACATATTCTATCCTTATGAAGCTGTAGGCTAACTGCCGATCTACTGATCACAGTTTGATGATTTAACATTGAAGGCAGCACAAGGATAAAGAGCAGACTTGTTTATCTTCCTTCTCCTCTAAATGAGTTTTTACTAGTTGCCTAAATGATATGTATAGGTCTACTAAAAATGCAGGTCTTTATTAAGCTGGCCATAGATGGATCAGAATTCGGCAGGTTCAGCAGGGAGTGCGGTGGCACACAGAGGCGCGAGATCTGCACTCTGTCCTCCTCTCTACTTCCAACTAAGACAAGGTGG